ACGCAATCTTGTAAAACAAGGTATCATCTCTCCATACAACGGAGTAGGTACCTATTATCACATTACATTCTCCATTATTCCATACACTATTTTCTGCACTTCATCTTCTACAAATTCTCATTTAAGCATCAAAAGCTCTCTACCAAAAAAACCCCTCCGATGAGAGAGTTTTTGCAGGTTCGCATGTGATCTACCGGCGAGGAAGCTTGAGTTCAAACTGTTTTCAGCCGGTCCGTGGTCTTTTGTGTACCGACACCAATCATGTCAATAAAAACTTCTTGATTGTAAATGAGTCATGCTCAAACCTGAATTATACCTTTTCAAGCAAGTGAGCTCAACTTGTTTAGTAGTACAAAGTTTGAGCTCAAATCTAGGATAAGTTAATAAATTAAATAATAAAATTTGATCCTCAACAAGTCGATCTAAGCTAAGAGTTTAAAACTTACATAATAGTCCCGATTTTTAAGCCTAGCAAACTGAGTCGAGCCGAGATAGTCTCGTTAACTAAGAAGGGTGCATTCCTTTGAAATTTTTAAGAGATGTTCCAAGTCAGTTTGAGATTCGAGACTTTTTAATATTTTGAGATTTACGAGGAATCCTTTGAAATTATAACTTTGAAGTGGAATTTTGGGTGGATCTTTTACACGGTTTTTGTTTATGAAATCTCAGCAAATCATAGGAAGTCTTAGTAAAAATAAATGAGCTTTGCATTAAAGAAGGATGTTGTGGGAAAGAGATTCAGACCAAATTTCAATTGTTTCGTTTTTTTGGAAAAGATGATTGTACATCATAGAGGAAGCATGCTGGAGCATTTATATACTAAAATCCAAACCCTACAACTACCAAAGGAACAGTCTTGGATCAAGTGCAACAAATCTCACGGTTTGGATTAACAAAAGTGTCACTAAAAGCATAAAGAGAATGGGGACCATCTGCAGCCTTCTTCCTTGTCCTTTCTCGTCTACATGGAGCTATGATGGATGCTGATCTATCGAGGTGATGATCCACATGGTTGTTGACTTCCCCACAAGGTTCAACACGGCCTCTCAAATCGATCGAGGTTAAGGAACCTACATGCAACTTGTTCCTTAGCCGAGAGAAGAGTTGATATCCAAGGGGTTTTCTCATTATGTCTACTACATGATCATAAAAAGGAATGTGATTATTGTTATATTTTTTGCTTCGACCTTCTCTCTCACAAAGTGAATGTCAAGCTATATGTGCTTGGTCCTAACATAGAGGTCCAAACATAGATGATTGGATTGGTTGCTAGATAAATGTCACTCAAGTAATCTATCCAAACTATTGCAGTTCTAACCACTCTGACTTCCAGCTCATCTAACAGTGCTTGTATCCATGTAATTTTAGTCACATGGTGACCCAAGCTTCTGTTCAAACTCTATGCTTAATCTGAAAATGGATTTTTGTTTCTTGGTTGCCCATGATATTAAATTCTGACCAAGATAAACAAAAGAACAAAAAAAGTTTGACCCAGAGCTTTACCTAAGTTTTTGATACATCAAATTTCATCACATCCCAAAAAGTTTGAAAAAAAAAATATTAGGAGACATACCGTCTTGACCCGGAGATTTACCTGGGTCCATACTAAACAAGGCCTCCTGATGTCTTACTCTGAGATAGGGGCTACTGGTGCACTGTTCATCTCTTCAAAAATAGAAGACGGAACGATCTGCAGCACATCCTCCTCATCACTTGACCCTTCAGAAGAAAACAAAGTCTCATAGAAAAAGCATACACTTTTCAATATCCTAAACTCCCCTCTTTCATTGACCAATGTTGTAATTGCATTACCATGTCTTCTTTGCATTACCACGTCATGGAAATACTTTGTCTTTAAATCTCCCTCTTTTAGCCAATTTGCTCTTTCTTTTTTATGCCGAAATTCCTCCTCATTTTTAATTAGCCTATCATATATCCTTTTTCAAGAAATGCCGCACATTCCAATCTCTTCTATCACCTTATTCGCTAATACTTCTAGTCTGGCAACAACCTCCTCTTTTGCTTTTACTATTTCTTCTCTACAAAAAAAATTGTCCACCTCAACAAAGCAATTCTGGTCTCTTTGATTTTTTCAGAGACTTGGAACACTGGTGTTTCACTTTTCCAAATTCCCCAAGATTACACTATTGCTTCTTTTACTCCAGCCATGCTCAACCACCTTTTGTCAAATTAAGAAAATTCTTCTCTCTCTCTCTCTCTCTCTCTCT